CCTAGCGAGCTATCGCCCTCCCCTGGGTACAACTGCAACAATACATCATCATTTACGTAGCTTATAAATTTTATAGAAATCTCACAAAAAAGAAAGAAGGAAAACAAAAGCAAAAGCCACAAAGGAAACGAAAAAGAAGAACTGCAAATACTTTAAGCATCGAGTAGAGAGGCTCGACTCGATTGAAATATAAAAACCACAAAACAGAACGAAGGGCAGACACAAAGCGTAGAGGGTGCTGCGGGTGCTGTGGGTTCAAAGGACAACACACTAAAAAACAGGCAAATTTTATTTGCATGTGGCTTTTCAATTCGTCTAAGAACATAAAACTGGCCAAAAGGAATGCCGTTTTTTTTTTTTTTTTTTTGGTCTCGTTGTTTTTATTTTTGGTAGGGAAACCCTTTCGATGATGCAAAAATAAAATAAAGCTGTAAAAATAGAACAGCGCAACAAGGAGAACGCAAGAGACAGAGAGTGTGTGTGAGAGAGAGAGAGAGAGAGAGAGAGAGAGAGAGAGACGTAGATTGAGCTGAGGCCGAGCAAGCGGAGGCGCGGCGTCTTAACAATTTCCTGCCAACTTCTGCTTCATTGCATATTTCCGCTTCCGTCCGTGTTTGTCTGTCTGTCGCCCCCTCTCATTCACTCTCTCTGACTGTCTCTGTCTCCGCCTGACATCGTCTGGCAGCACACATGAGCACTGCGAACTGGGAATCGTGAGCTGAAGTTGTGAATAGCGACGACAGCCTCAACAAACATTTTTTTCTCTCTCTTTTTACGATTTGCAATTATTTTTGCTCATTTCAGCAGAAGCAAACATTTCCTTAAGGACAACTAAGGCACCAGACGCGCCAACTATGCTAGAGAAAGACAGATAGAGAGAGGCAGAGGGAGAATGTGGGGGCTACAAAGTTCTTACAGCTGTCCTTCACATTACAATTTACATAAGTTGATACACAGCAGTTGATATTTTTCGACTTGTTTCCTAAGAACCTCTGGACGTATCCTCCCCACATTCCACTGCCCTCCCCTTGCCCAGGCTGCCTCTGTAACATTTCTGTGCTGAGTTATTTGTCCGCTTGAGCAAAGTTCCTGAGCGTTGAGTTTACATGAAAAGCATTTTAACTGCAACGAGGCGAACGACATAAATCGGCATTGGCAACTGTCCCTATCCCCACTCCTGCTCCTGCGCCTGCTCCTGCTCCTGCCCACCTTCCGTTTGTGGTAGGGAAGTGCAAGGAACTGCTGCCAATTGTCTTTGCATAGCAAGCCGAGCGAGGGAAGTTGCTCTTTTGTGTGTGGGAACAGCTGTTTTCGTTTGTTATCCAGCCGGAAGATCTTGATTTAAGCGAATGCAGCAGACAAAAAGTCAATATTTTTGGTATAGATTTCCATTTCGTTCAGAAAATATATTAGCTAGCTTTTCAATAGGAATGGAAAAATGTTGCCTCGAGAGAAGAGAAATTTTTATTAGCTAAGAATTTGCTTTAGAATTAAATGAATATACCCTGGAGTGATTTTCATTATTTATTTTATTTGATATGTTTTTGTAAATAATTAAATAAATTTGCTGTAGGAAGTAAAGTTAGAAATTTAATAATTTTACTTAAAATGAGTTCATAAAAAATTGTTCAGACACGAAAGTATTAATTTCGATAAGATATTATCGATGTTATAATATTTTTCTTGAATTTAGCAGAAAATAAACTTACAAAAAAATACAAACAAACAAAAAGTTTTGTTTAATATGTAAATAATAAATTTTATAAGAACAATAAAATTATTTTTATTTTTTTTTTTTTAATAATTTTTTAGCAATGCAAATTTATATTTTCGCTTTTTCTCTAATAGCACCAATAATAATACATTATTACAATATACTATATATAAAATGTAATAAATAATATATAAAAGATCATGTATGTGTGATATAAAAAATCTAAATTGAAATATTTATTTTAAAATTCATATTTAAATAAAAATTATATATATGTATATGTATTTAAGAACTTAAAATTTACAGAAATTAAAAATAAAATTAACTACATTTTTCTATATGAATTTTTAAATTTGTTGTAATAATATATATAATATATATAATAATATAATACATTTATTTATAAAATATTGAAATATGTATACTGAAAAAATTGAGATATATTTTATGTTACGTTTTAGATAAAAAATATATTAATTTATAGATATATGTTTGCATATGCATATACAAACATGTATACATCGTACTATAAAATAACAAGAGCTAAAAAATATAATACTATATATATGTATATTAAATCCATTTCTAAATGCCTTAAATATTTAATTTTGTTATCTTGCCTTTAACTTGCCTCAATCAACTCACTTTATTAACGCCTTAAGTATTTGCACAACTTTTCCCAATGTTTGGGCAGTTGTTCCTTTTTTTTTTTTGCCATCCGCATAATGAGCAGCGGCTGCCATGTGGCAGGACTGGCTGTCTTTCAACATGTGGCGCCTCCCAACGAGCCCCCTTAGCCATGGCCCAAATAACTTCCCTCTGCCGTCTTCATTCGTGTGTGTCGCTCACTTTTTGTCTCAACTCCACGAAAATTGGCCAAGGAAAATGCAAAAAAGAAAGTCGATGAAAATCCCTATTGCATGGCTAAATGCAAATAGAATATTTTCTTACTTCTCGTTTGCTTGATTTTCATTGAGCATGTGCGACTGCGAAATGCCCTATAACTTAGGGAAATTGGTATTGTTAAAGGTAGAAGACAGATTGCAAATAAAACATTATTAAGGAATATAGAAAAAGTAAGTACACATACTTCCTTATATACATATATATACCCTGATTAACATGTATTACAGGGTATATTAATATTCACATTACTACCTATATTCCACATTTAAATACTAACAACTAAAATTCTACCTTTAGCAACTACCTCGCCTGGTCAACTCATCTGGCTCGCTCAGCCCACAGGGTATATATGTATGTATGTATGTATGTATGTATGCGTGCGTCTATGGTTAAAAAGAGGCAAACATTTGCCTTTGAAGTGCCATCCCTGCCATTCCATACACCACATACACCTCTGCTGCTCCCCCCTCTCGCTCCTCCTGATTCATGTTTAAATGTTTCGAACGCGTGCAGAAAATCAAAATAAAACGTTTTTCGTTTCATTTGCAATGAAATTCGCAATTGGCGTCTTTGTTTTGCTATTTCTATACTCTATACGCGCATCTCTATGTTTGCCTTGGTTTCGGTTACGATTTCCGTTTACGTTCTGTTTGTAGCAGGAGCGACTCAAAATCGTTTTCCAATATACATAGAGCAGAGAGGCGACGCCTCTCGATGGGCATTCTCGATGTCTCTTCTATATTCACACGGCATGTGGGGCCAATCGGGCAATCAGCGGACTAGCTTCCGTGTCCGGGTGTCATTTTTGCTATAGTATATGTGTGTGTATGTGGTTGTGTTTGTTTGTTTGTTGGGTTCTGTTTTTGCTATTTTATTTCTCGCCCTGACACACACAACGAGTACCATGAATATTTAACTAGCTACAATTGACTATGATTGTTATGTTCGTTCGCCCAGTGCCAGCACTCGACAGCAGCCACATTTTACAATTAGAGTAGGGTACAGTGTACAGGATATAGGCTATAGAGTGCTCTGGTAGGGGCTGCAAGAGGGTATATGTAAGCAGCCTTGCCTCGCCTCTTTCATTTATCAATTTGCTTAACAATTTTTTTTTCTCTCGTTTCCTCCTGCCATCTTGAAGGCAGCCTCTGCATTTGCTTTGAGCGGGCTAACATAGAAAAAATTGCAATTTTAACGCATGACGGCGCATTTTCAATCGAAGCAAACTGAAAAAAAATATATATATAAATAAAAATAAAAATACAAAAATTGTAAGAAAAAAATGTGCTTCAGATTTTGCCGACTTCTACTTAGACATCGTCGCGTAATCGAATATAAATTGAATTTTTTAACAACAAATGGATTTTGCCAAAGGTTTTCTCTCCCTCCCTCCACTTCCCCTCTCTCTCTCTCTCACACACACCCTTTGGCAGCTGCCTCTTAGCTTCAGTCAGACGAAATAAGCGTTGGATTAATATATGCATTAAAAAATATAAGAAAAATCCGATAGAAAAAAAAGTCAAGTGCTTTCGCTTCTTTGTGAATTGACTTTTAGTCAGGTTAGACGCAAAGGCCTTATTGCATTCGAAGAGTTGGCCAAGCTTCGTCTTGGCAGCTGCCATAATCGAAAATATTTTTGGCCATGAACCAATTCCCAAGTCAAACTTAATTTGTTTGTCTTCGCCGTGACCACGCCTCATTTTATTTTTATCTCTCTAATTAAATATTTGCTTGGCTCGTCGCCATTTGCGTGTCTGTCGATAGCTCTTCAGGGCCACAATTTATGGCCCGACATTTACTTGGCCACCAAATGGATTTTAGGCAGGAGTCAGACGCATATTCATCAGCTGTGGTATCAGAGAAGAGGAACTTGGCAAATATTTTAGCTAATTAAATAAATAAAATTAATTTATGAATGCGATATACTTATATTAAATTATTATTGTTAATTATAGACAAAGCTTTTTGATTTATATTCTGATTTATCTGAAGAAAGTGAAAAATCAAAAAGCCTTTCGATAATGTTTGTAGAATGAAAGAGTTTTGGAATTGTTGTCAAATATTTTGGATCTGGTTAGAGTTATACAAGGGCGAATCAGCTTGTAAGCGACTCATCCAATATATTTCTTTAAACATACATATATTTTATATTTGTTAACAATTAAAAAAATGTTTTTTCTTCTGATTTTTCATATTTGTATGTTTATTCAATTAGTTTGCTTGTCGCTTTAGTTGTATAATACACACCTGGTAAATGAATATATTATAATAGATAGATAGATAGATAGATAGTTCAAAACAATCTTCTTCTTCAGTTATTTCTCTTCTATTATCCCTTCATCTTATCTAGCTGACAAGTGCTTGCAACAGAGAGAATTGCTTAGTTGGCCATATTCCAGGGATCTCTGATTTTGCTGATTTTTCATACATCTGCTAGAAAATTGGCCTCGATTGGGCTCGACACATTTTCCACAATTTCGTATTTTCACATTTTTCGCACGCATCTTTTCTCAGTTTTCAGCCCCCGCCGCTGCTGTCCAACTTGTCTGATTGAATATTTTTTCGTGTTCATTTTTTGGCGTGTTTTTTGCTAGCGCTCGCACTTGTTCTCCTTTCCTGTCTTTATTTTTTTTTTTGTTTTTTTGCCAGCCGACACTTGAACGCGTTTTTCTATGCCATGTTTTTTGCACTTTATGCATATTTTTTGCATTTATTGCGGTACGAGGGGATATTCCGCCGAGCAGTAGGTACACAAATACACTAACATACATATATGCATGTATGTCGAGCTGAGCTAATGTATGCTCGTCACGTTTAGCCACTTGTGTCCTGTGGGCTTCTGGCTGCCGTGTCTTCACATTCACTTAGTGGCAAGTCCTGGGCCGAACCTCTTTTGCATATTGATACGCTTATGTACGAAATCCACTTGGGCAAACGCTCTCAGCTCCCAGCTACCAGCTACCAGCTCCCAACTCTCAGACCATCCAGCCTTTCACTTTGTAATGGAAATTAACAGCAGTTTATACTATATGTGGAGCCTCAGATAATTTGCAGCATAAATATGAGCTAATAATACGCAGGACATAAATTACACACAGGCAATACAAAATATTTCCGTTTGTAAACATAAAACGAACTTTGAGTATAAATTCAGCCTAACTATAAAATTTAAATATCCAATATACTCTTCTCTATTTTATATTTTATATTTTATATTTTATATTTTATATTTTATATTTTATATTTT